AAAAAAAAAAAAAAAATTGTAATAAACATGGTTCGCTAGAGTTCGTAGCCTTTCCAACTTGAGCTATTAAGCCCTTTGGAGTGTCTCTACACTTAACACCCTAAAGCCATCTGGTTTGGGAGTTGTTGGCCTAACGCTTGCTACATGGGTTGGTTAGAAAGCTTAAGGGACTTTAGCATTGCACAACCATTCTATGTTTCGCTAATGAGTTACAATAAATTGTCAACAGGCAACAAAAGTTGCCTTGAAAATAAAATCATGCCTTAGGGACTTCATGTAAAGGGGAATTCATTGATTTGAAAACTTGTGACTTAGAATTGGAAAAGAAAGTAAAAGCCGCATGTTGAGAATTCAATTCACTTTCACTGGAGTTTGAGTTATTTCCATTTAAGAGATGACAATTGAATTATTTATATGGACTATGATGTTGATGCATGCATGTTGAAATGGTTTTTCCCAATTTTTGTATCAATGCTTCATATATGCAAGGTAGTCTTCCCAATGATCCCGTCTCCAGCTCTTTATCTGTTTCAAGTTGTATTTGAGCTATGTTTATGTTTATCTTTGCCATGGTGAATATTTTTGTAATAGCATTCCCATGTTTTCATTCCATTGAACTTTGCATTTTGGTTTTGCTAAGGGACTAGCAAAATGTAAGTTTGGGGGTGTGATAAGCGCTGAATACTGTATATTCAAGCGCCCTAAATTACATTAACAAAGTCCATTAATTGATTATTTTATGTAGATTAACTCCATTTGCATGTTTTTATGCATTTTCAAGTTAAAGTGCAAAAAGGAAGCAAAAATGATGCCTTGTGGAATTTTGAACAAAAAGGGTGCCAATTCTGAATTTCTGGCAGCAGTAGAACCTGACTTTTGTCGCCATTTTCGACCTTGCAAACTCAAGAACTGGACTTCCATCATAACATGAAAGATTTAGAGATCTGAATCAGCTTTCCAAATCTTCAAGCGGTTCGTCATTCGGAGTTCGGAGCAGAGAGTTATGATCTTCTTAACAGAGGTGCGCAGAACTGCCTGGCAGCACTAAAGTACTGCCTTTCTCCCCATTTTCGACCAACCAGACTTGAGAATTGGGTCTTCATCAAAACATGAAGTTTTTAAAGCACTGAATCAGCTCTCCAAATCTTCAAACAGTTCATCATTCGGAGTTCAGGGTACAAAGTTATAGCAGTTTTACTAAAGTAGGTCAGTGCTGAGCAAGAAGAGCATGTTGCACATTACACTAATTTAGAGTGCTCAAGACCACTCTTCGAGTGCTCGAAAATCAGGCAGATTGCACTCGGAAATGGCTCAATTTCAGCCACTTGCACATTGGTTTCCTCAATGCCATCTTCCTTCTTTATGAAGTGGTTGGAGGTGTTCCTTGGAGGAGAGAAAGGGTTTTGTTGGAGGACAAAAGGCAACCAAAGGACACACATTTGACATCCTACATTTTCTACAAGATTAGAGGAGAGAGAAGGGAGCAAAGGAGGTGTGTTCTTCAAGCTCCAAGAAGGTTGCGCGAAAATGGCCATGAAGATGGAGCTTCTTCCTTCTTCTAGCTTAGCAATGGGTAACTAACTCTTTCTCTAGGGAGGTGATGAAGTCCCTCCCTTGTAAGCATGTCCTAGGATAATCTATTTTGGGGATTTGCCATGTATATTTTATGGTCTTTTCATAACCAAGAGCACCTCATTTGTTGTAATGAATGTTGATACATGTATAGATGATTTCTTTAAGTTGATTATCTTGCTTTAGATGATGTCTTAGAGTAATCATATTGCTTGAGTTTTTCATGGTGAGAGTGGAAGCAAGGTTATGAAATGGTTTCATGGCATGTTGATAGGTGACTTTGATAGACCATTGCTTAGGAAATCATTTGATGGTGTATGCTTAATCTCTAACTCTATGTGCTTTATCATTTTGTTAAGAACTCGATAGTCTCTCATTTAAGTAAATGTGTATAAGCTACACCTTAGTTAGGTAGTCTAAGCATGTTTATCTTTTGATGGATTATACTTGTTTGAGACCTAATGTACCTCTTGATTACTTATATGGCAACCATGTGTTGCTATGTAAGTCTTGACCATCATATGTTATTTTTCCCCCAATTTAGGTTTAATCTAGCATATGTATAGGGATGGAGGCGGATTCACTTCCCTAGTCTCCTCTTCTCTATTGTTCTATTTCATCCTAAATTCCTTGCAAATTAGTATTTTATGCACTTTGAATTCCTAATTTAAGTGACAACAAACAAAACCTTTATGAACACCCCCTCATCATTCTAGAAAGATTCTAAACACTAAGGTTGCTGTAAGACTAGCGCAGTCCCAGTGGTTCGACTTACCCGACCAATAGCCCTATTTTACAATGATTCGTGCTATTGCGATGGTTGATGTATGATTGACCAACCGATCAGGGTACGGTGAACGTTTTCCTGCTGAGGGTCAGACTAGTTCAGGCGCCAATCCAGATGACATTGACAAGGAGCTGGAGATCGACTCCCCAGGAACTTATGCTAATCCAGACCCCACTCTTGCCGAACATATTTTCGATGATTGCCAGGAGATTGCTTCTTCCGGGGTCATTCCTGTCCCCTCAGCTACTCAACCCTTGGATGCTCCTCTTCTTTCTGCTATGGTTCTTCCTGCACCTGCTGCCGAGGATGGAACTCAATCAGATGGAGCAGTCATCCAACTTGACTCTCCTCCCCGAGGGGAGAGTACAGCTAATGAGGGTGAAGGGAACTCTGAGCATGAGCAAGAGACCGAGGAAGTAGACATGACTGAATAGTTATCTACAGATGTATTGTCTTCTCTTTATACTATATTCATTCCCCCAGAACCATATTTGTAAATGTTTGTTAAATCATGAATTTAATGGAATGAAAAACTTTTGACTAATTCTTGTCTCATAGTACTTTTACTATTTCATTGTCGCTTCTGAATGTCATTTATCGCAAGTGTTTGGCGCTCGGTTAGAGTGCCACTAGCCACTTGGCTTTTTACTTTACTTTTTTAGCAAGTGTTTGGCGTTCGGCTCATAGTGCCGGCTGCCATTTACTTTGCTAAGTGCCTGGCGCTCGGCCAAAATGCCACTTGCCACTTGGCTCTCTTTTATTTATTTATTTATTTATTATTTATTATTTTTATCAAGTGTTTGACGTTCGGCTCATAGTGCCAGTTGCCACTTACTTTGCTAAGTGTTTGGCGCTCGGCTAGAATGCCCCTTGGCTTTTATTTTCAGCAAGTGTTTAGCATTTAGCTGATGGTGCCAGTTGCCACTTACTTTGCTAAGTGACTGGCGCTCGGCTAAAATGCCACTTGCCACTTGGCTTTTATTTTTAGCAAGTGTTTGGCATTCGGCTCATGGTACCAGTTGCCACTTACTTTGCTAAGTGTATGGCGCTCGGCTAGAATGCCACTTGCCACTTGGCTTTTATTTTTAGCAAGTGTTTGGCGTTCGGCTCATGGTGCCAATTGCCACTTACTTTGCTAAGTGCCTAGCACTCGGCTACTTGCCACTTGGCTTTTATCTTTAGCAAGTGTTTGGCGTTCGGCTCATAGTGCCAGTTGCCACTTACTTTGCTAAGTGCCTGGCGCTCGGCTAGAATGTCACTTGTCACTTGGCTTTTATTTTTAGCAAGTATTTGGCATTCGGCTCATAGTGCTAGTTGCCACTTACTTTGCTAAGTGTCTGGCGCTCGGCTAGAATGTCACTTGTCACCTGGCTTTTATTTTTAGCAAGTATTTGGCGTTCAGCTCATAGTGCCAGTTGCCACTTACTTTGCTAAGTGCCTAGTGCTCGGCTAGAATGCCACTTGCCACTTGGCTTAGCGAGAAGAGTGCTACTCAATTTTTAAAGCAAAATAAATTTCTTTCATTGATCTCAGGAATTTTGTACATTTGCATTCATGAGACTCATAACGAACATCGTTCGGAGCACAATTCGACTTCTACTGGAAGTACCTTTTTAGAGATGTAGCATTCCACGGTTTGTTGACTAACCTTCCAGCCATTGTCTCCAGGACGTATGCCCCCTTTCCTATAACTTCTGCCACTCTGTACGGACCTTCCCATGGCGATAACATTTTCTTGATAATTCCTACCCTCTTCTTCAGAACTAAATCACCAGGTGCGAAATCTCTATATCTCACTTTTTTATTATGGCTATTCATCAGTGTTTGCTGATACGATGCGAGCCTTATTGCTGCTGCGTCTCTCTTTTCTTCTAACAAATCAAGATTGAATTTCAACATATTATCTTTCTATTCTTGATTCCACGCAAGGCTCTGAATAGTTGGAACTAAATGATCGACCAATATTACTGCCTCAGTTCCATATGCCATGGCAAATGGGCTCTCTCCGGTTGGTCGTCTCGGAGTGGTTCTGTATGCCTACAAGACGTTCGGGAGCTCATCCAACCATTTCCTTTTCTCTTCTTCAAGCTTTTTCTTTATACAAGCAAAGATCGTTCTGTTTGTGATCTCAGCTTGGCCATTTGCCTGTGGATGGCTGACCGCTGCTAGGTTTTGGTTGATTCCATATTCTTCCAGCAATCCCCTTACTTGTTTGCTATCAAGGTTAGTCCCATTGTCCATAACAATTAACCTCAGCACACCAAATCGATAGATGATGTTACTCTAAATAAAACGTCTCACATGAGTCTGAGTGACGCTGGGATATGGTCTGCCTCCACCCATTTAGTAAAGTAGTCAGTTGTAAGCAGAACGTACTTATTCTGTGATCTGGCGGTCGGTAGTGGGCCAACCATATCCATCCCCCATTGCGCAAAAGGCCATGGTTTGGCCATTACGTGTAACTCTTTAGGTGGTTGGTGGATTAGTGGTCTGAACTTTTGGCATTTATCACAACTTCTCGAAAATTCTTTCGCATCTCATGACATGTTGGCCAAAAATATTCCTGCGTCATCGCCTTGTGCGCTAGGGACCTTACCCCTGAATGATTTCCACACACACCTTCGTGAATAGTTCGCAATATCTACCGAGCTTCTGTGAGGGTGACACATTTCAAGTAAAGCCCTAAATAAGACCTCTTATACAACTGGTTGTGCGCTATGGCATACTTCACAGCGTTCGATCTGATCTTCCTTGGCTCATCCCTCTGCTCGGGCAAAACACCATCCTGTATATATGTCATAATTGGATCTATCCAACTCGGCTCATATGGTATGACATTCACTTGCCATGGATTCGAGCTTGATGGTTCCTCAAAGATAGATGGCTGGTACAACACACCAACTGGAACTACCCTGGCCAGTGTCTCCCCATAGCTTGATGCACTACAGGCCAACCGGTCGGCATCTTCGTTGCGCTCCCTCGGCAATTGAATGAACTTGATCTGATCAAAATTCTCTGCCTCGCGCATAACGGTTGAACGATATGCCTTCATTGTTTCATCCTTAGTTCCATACTCCCCAGTCACTTACCGAACGATCAGCTGTGAATCGCTAAAAGCAACTAAGCTTTTGACCTTGAGCTCCTTGGCCAATTTCAAACCTGCCAATAGTGCTTCATACTTAGCCTTATTATTGGTCGCACTGAACTCAAGTCTGATTGCATGGCTCAGTGTGGTACCTTCTGGTGTCTGTAACTTGACCCCAATTCTTGCCTCCATCTGATTCGAAGAACCATCAACGAGAGCTTCCACGAAGCCTCTGCAGGATTTTCCTCTGGTTCTTCCACATCACAGTCCAGTAAGAAATCAGCCACAGCTTGCCCTTTGATGGTCGTTTGGGGTTCATACGTTATGTCAAAAGAACTCAGCTTTATTACCCACTTCATCATTCATTCGAACAAATCAGGCTTATGCAAGATCACTCTTATGGGAAATGTGGTCAGAACGACTATAGGATGGGATTCGAAGTAATGCCTGAGTTTCCTCTTCGCATTTACCAAGGACAAGATTACTCGTTCGGCCTTTGTATACCTTCTCTCTGGCTCGGTCAGCGTTTTGCTGACATAGAAAATTGGGAACCGCTTACCTTCTTCACATTGTATCAAAACTCCACTAGTTGCAATGTTGGAAACTCTAAGGTACAGGAAAAGCTTTTCACCTGGTTTTGGGGCATTCAGGACTGGTGGATTTCGCATGTACTCTTTCAACTTGGTCAATGCTTGCCTCTACTCATCCCCCCAGGATTGATTTCTGTGACTTCTTATTGTATCAAAGAATGGCTTACATTGGTCCGATAACTTAGAGATAAATCGACTCAGGGCCGCTATGCATCCGGTGAGAGCTTGAACTTCTTTGACAGTGTTTGGTTCTGCATTTTTAAGTAAAGCTTCCGCTTAGGCTGGGCTGACCTCAATCCCTCTGCTGTTAACCGCATGGCCAAGGAATTGCCCAGAGCCCATGCCGAATGAACATTTAGTTGGGTTTAGCCTTATTTCATACCTTCTCAGTACACCGAACACCTCCTGTAAGTGTTACAAATGATGGTCCTTTTGTTTTCTCTTTACTACCATGTCATCAATATAAGCCTCAACAGTTTTGCCCATTTGATTCTTGAAAATCTTACTGACCAACCTTTGGTACGTAGCTCCAACATTCTTCAGTCCGAACGGCATAACCTTATAGCAATAAATTTCTCGTTCAGTAACAAAAGAGGTCTTTTCCTCGTCGTTCAGATCCATTGGGATTTGATTATAGCCTGAATAAGCATCCAGAAATGTTAGTCGCTCATACCTAGTTGTAGTATCTACCATTTGATCAATCTTTAGAAGTAGAAAGCTATCATTCGGGCATGCTTTATTTAGATTGGTGAAGTCAATGCAAACTCTCCATTTTTCGTTCTTCTTTTGCACTACAACCACGTTCGACAGCCATAACGGGTACTGAACCTCCTTGATGAACCCAGCCTTTAACAACTTATCAACTTCATCAGCAATGATCTGGTTGTGTTCCGGGGTAAACCTTCTTTGTTTCTACCGTACAGGCTTACCGGTCGGATCCACATGAAGGGAATGGCAAGAAACAGAGGGGCTGATCCCCGACATGTCCAAATGCTCCAAGCGAACACATCTACGTTCTGGGAAAGGAAATCAATCAATTAGAGTTTTTTTTCCTCAGGTGGCCCTGAGCCTATCTTTGTGGTTCGGTTGGGCCTCAAATGATCAATTTGAACATCAACTAGAGGTTCCTCGGTCAACACCGGGGGCTCATCCTCCCCGTTCGGGCTGAGGGGAGGCTCTTGTAATTGTTATTGTGGGCTGTCAGAATGGATGGGAGCTTTTCCCTTCCCTGCTGCTTTCAGAGTCACTGAGTAATATTCCTTTGCTGCAACCTGGTCCCCATGGATATCAATCACCTTATTTCTGTCCAGACTCAAACGCCTCATCACTTAGTGCAGGGTCGATGGGACTCCCTGGACCCTATGAATCCACCCTCGCCCCATCAGCAGATTGTAGGATGGATGGATCTCCACTATTACAAAGCTTTCAATAAGTTCCCTCTCAATAGCTCGGAGAAGCAATTAGACTGAATGAAGTTCCAGTGTATTTAAGGGCTTCTGGCTTGATTTCTAGCCGATCGAAGGTAACCCTTGGCATGACATTCGCGTTGCTCCCCGGATCAATTAGCAGCCTTCGTACTAAGCATTCTTCCACCGTTAAACTAACAACCAAGGGGGAATCTAAACTAGCAGCAGGTCTATTTTATCAAATCTTATCTGCGTTGATGCGTTCTGCTGGTGTAAAGCGTTCACACTGCCTATTATTCTCTTTATCTGCGTTTGGCAGAGACGCGTTCGGAGCAACTCTTTAGATTCTGTTATCTATTCAGGTCGCCATGGATTGCATTTATAATTTGAACGGGCTGAGCGTTATGGTGATTCGGCTTTTGATTTCTTTGGACTTGATCAGCCGGACGACTATGCTCCTGTGCTGGCCCTTGAATATATCCTGTAAGTTCTCCTTTTGCGATCAACATCTCCACTTGCCTCCTTAAATTCCTGCATTCATTAGTCTGATGACCAAATCACTATAAAAAGCACAATGTTTAAATTGATCTCTCTATTCGAAAGGTTGTCTAATTGGTAATGGAGGGCGAAACTTATCTTTGTTTTCTTGATATAGCCTTGCTAGAGTGACTTTGAGTGGAGTAACCAACTCCTCCTCTCGGGGCCTCTTCTCAGCCTTCCAGGGGGTCTGACGCGGCGGTGGAGCTTGCTTTTGCTGAATCTTGGCTTTGGACTTCTCTTTTGTGGAGATAATAGAGGTCTTCCTTGCATTAGCTGCTTCTTCTCTTTTCTAGACGCACGAAACCATCAGCTCTCTCATTCATCTCATTTATAGTCTTCAGCGTATCTACCACTAGACTTGTGTGGAATGGTGTCCCTCGAGTCATTGCTAACTTAAACGCTTGAACTGCTGTTGATGGATGACACTCCATGACCATACTCTTGACAAGGTTAAACCTGGTGAGAAAAGCCTGGAGTCGCTTATCTTCGTGCTGCTTCATTGTAAATAGGCTTAACACATCTTTAACCGGGCGCTTGTTTCCATAGTATTGGCTTATGAACTTATCACATAAGTCCTGGAAACTAGCAATTGAACCTTGACCAAGATTCTTAAACCAATTGAGGGTTGGTCCAGCCAAACTTGTTGGGAAGCATTTGCATATCAAGGGATCATTGTTCGTGTTCAAACCCATCTTTAACTGAATGTGGTAGATGTGATTGATCGGGTCGGTTGTTCCATTAAACAGAATGAAAACTGGCATGGAAAACTTCCGTGGACTTGGAGTGTTCAGGATTTCATCAGTAAATGGAGATGCAACCGCTCTTGCTAATGAACGGAGTGCTTCATTCTCTCTTGAGAACCGTGATGGAGCTCCAAGGTCTATAGATCTCCTTTCTGAACTCCAGTAATTAAACGTTGCCATTAAAGGCCGATAGGGTGGATCGAACGACCTGTCCTTCATAAACTCATTATGCTACGGTGATGCAGCCCTACGATGGCCATACTCCATAAGCTCATCACGCCTCAGTTGTCCCTGGCTTGGATCAAACGTTGCGGCTTCCTCTCGCATGATTTGCTCGTGATGCGGATCCAGGTGGATAGATCCCTCCCGATCCTCCATCTGATGGATGTTTGGAGGTAGATCACCTAACACTATCCCCTCGTGATGAAAATCAACGCGAGGTTCTCCTTCCAGATCATCGTGATGAACGGCACTGGATGGCAAAACTCCTTCTCCTACCGGATGTGGCCTCAGAATAACAGGAACCTCACGACGTTCCATTTCAGCTCGTAATTCTGCATTATCTCTTCTCAGTGCTTCAATCATACTCATCAACTCGTCGAGCTTCAACTGCTAGCCAATCTCTAACGGATTTGAGCTCTCACCTCCGATCATCATTCCTGACTGGAGCAAAGTCATCAACCGCAACTTCCTGGTTAGATCTGAGTGTTGCTAATGCAATCGCACTAGACCTAGACTCGAATTGGCTGAATTCTGACCTTACTAGACCAGATCTGAATCTTTTCCACCGTGAACCTATCAGATCTAGCTTTGGTAAACAACACACAATCGCATAGATCGATTAAATTTGCACAAATAAGAGCTGCGTAGATCGAACGCGAACTCTTCCAAATTAACCAGAATTGGAATTCGGTAAAACAAACAACGATTTCACCTGTCCTGGCTCAGTTTTCCGAGATCAAGCTTCTTCCTCACGAATCACTCACGATCGAATCACTTTTGACCGATCGAAAATCAAGCTTCAACGTTTCCCACGGACGGCGCCATTGAAGATGCAAGAATTTTCTCTTTCAATTTGGACAGAATTTCATTACACTTCAAAATGTTTTGATCCCCCTTTTTCCCTCTATTTCCAGTCTATTTATAGACTGTTAGAATTTTTCTAGAGGATTCCTAACTAACTTCTTCCATTGGGCTTATCTTCTAGGCTTTCGCAATCATGGGCTCAGTCACTTTTAGGGGCCTTCTGCTTCGACTTTCAGCATTGGGCCTATATAATTGAAAGCAAGGTTCGGGCCTTGGGTATTTATCCAACCCATCTTTTGTTATGTGGGCTACGCTCATCCCATCGCTCTTCTCGTGGGTTGTATCCGGCCCACGCCGTATTCGGTGTCCTCATAGATGTACAAATTTTAGCTTATAACTAGAGTATTGATGAATATAAATGAAGCTTAAACTCTATGAAGAGAATGAATGAGAGAAGATGGTATAAGTGAAGAACAAAAGTTCTAATTAACTCAATAAGATCTTTCAAGTATAGGATAGAGTAAAAGCTCTATGAAGATTCGAATTAAAGCAAAAGCCCTTTGAATCCCTAGTTAAATCTTTTAAGGTTTGTATATAAGTCAATAAGAGAGATGAAGAGAAGATGTGATAACAAAAGCTCTCTAATGCAATATGATGTCTCT